TCTGTTAGTGGGTGGGGAGATCTACAAAAGAACTGTTCATAACAACACTTTTAAATAAAACCAGAACAACAACACGTAAATGACTCTGAAACCGTCTGTCACTGAGTTGGGGTTGCCCCATTGTGTCCCTTGTCCTTTCAGACTGACCAGTTCAGCAAGACAGCCCCATGTGAGACAGGGTTCTTGTCACCAGAGACCTCGGAGGTTTCCTCACACCTGCTTGTAACCATAACACAGTACTATGAAGAGAGGATGGGATCATTAATGAGATGTCCACATGCATATAAGAGTTTAAATATAAAATGGACTATATTTATTAAAATATACCTAGATTAATGTTTATAGAGACTAATGTTTCAGGTGTGTTGAGCAGTAACACTAAGTAATAAAATCAAGTCCACTGGTACTTCTACAAATCGGCCCTTAATTTTACTGCTTATGTAGCACAAAAGGAGTTTCAGAGTATCTCATTGTGCAAATAGATTCATCAGGCTGCACTGAGACTGAATCTTCCTGTGAGCAGCAGACATGATGCTCCCCAGCATTTCAGGCGATTGTTTAATGTTGGCCTACCTGTTCTTTTGATACCTCTTTTTTCTGCACATAATTTCTCTTCAGTGAAAGGAAGGGTTGGCTTTTTGAACCAACAGAGCAACTGTCCCTGAGGAAGAAAAGAAAGCAAGCTCATACATTTACACGGATGGTAGAATCTAGCAAATTGTATCAACTATAAATCACTTTTAAAAATGCTCATTACTCCAGAGTCTGGCAGAGCCACATCTACTTAATTGCTTCTGTTCCCTACAAAGACTGAAGCCGAGGTCTTTGAAGAAGAAATGCCACATGCCGCTTAAGGGCAGGTTTCAAATGGGCCTCGGAGTGCTAAGGAACAGTCTGGACATGCTGAAGAGGAACAATTCAGTCTGAAAGAACCAGTAGAATTAATTTGGGAGTCCCAGCTCTCTGCCAGTCTTACTTAACTGGCAGCGTCTAGAGCTTTATCTAATTCACGCTAAACAAACTGGAAAATAGCAAAGGATAGTACAAGAAAGGAAACTGATAGTGAATACGCTTTTCAGTTAATGTATCTAAAGAGTGGATTTTGAGACGTTTTGTCTTCATATTGTATATGTGATAGGAAAACAAATAAACAAATGAGAATAAGAAAATTAGATAAAAATGACAAGTATCTGAAGTATTTTAGCAGCATAAAAATGGAAATAGTATATCATCCCTACAGGATGCATTTGAGGGAATAAGTAGTTATAGGTATTGCAATCTTTTTTGGCATGGTGTGTTTCAATATTTATTTATTCGAGCCATTAAAAGTAATCAGATAATTTTATCTTCCATATTGTGTATTGTTTTTCTAGTTAGTAGAATAAGTGAGTGAAATTTTGTATTTGATCAAAGTGTAAATATTTCTGTCCTGAAAACTGCTAAAAAATTGCTCCACAGGGCAACATGAAACTTTCATTGATCTACCCATGGAGCAGAGTCTCCTTGTACAGAAAGATTTCAGTACATTGGAGCATCACATCTGCTGAGTTAACTGCATATCTGATCTCTTGATGCGCTTCTTGAACGTATAATTTTAAACATTTATCCAATACTTATCCTAGAGCTGGAATGCATCTTTTTCTGCCATCTTTTTTTTTTTTAGAGTGAATTGTAAAAGTCTTCAGATAACTAGCTTTGCCATCCTGAACTATGCTGAACATCTTTGACTTTCATTCCTAGAGGGAGGTCGGGAAATTTAGGCAATAGCTTATGTGGTGTCCACTCATCTTGCAGAGAGTCTTTGAGAGGACTACAGTATATTATGTTTTCTTCCTTGGATATGGCTCTTAATCACAACTTCCTCTCAGTTCTTGGAAGAAATATAGATTACCTGGTACCTAGATTAAATCATCAAGTTCATTTCATTTCAGAACCTTTCTTTGACAGGCCTCTTGAAACAGGTAAGATTAATGTATACTGTTTTCATGGAAGGCAAAGCTCAAAAAGGCTGGATGGCTACATAGTTCCAGTACTGGAAATCTCTCCCTGCCTCCCCCTGGTTAATTTTTATTTCTACAGAAAGCTCACTCATCAAGCCAAGAATGTACAGCTATAAATATTCCTTCAGCGTTTCTCTATTGCAAGAGAGTGTACAATTGAAGTGCCTGATCTCAAGAACCAAACTCCCAACAGTCTACATTGGAGACTGGATCCAGGACTCTTTGAAGTAACTGAAAAAACTCCCATCAAATTCAGTAGTTTGAGAGTCTTTAGGGCTTCTTCTACAATGAATCATGTCTGCTTAGTTTTAGCTGTGTTTGTTGGAAAGGAATTAAATGTGGATTTTACTGCTTAGGCACATAAAAGGTAGGCATTATTGTCAAGCTATGAAAAGAATACAGCTTGTCCTGAATCTGGATGCAGGAACCCAGATGAAGTGACTTAAACCCATCTCAGGGCAACCCTGGGCCCACGTTCGCCTTGCTCCTTCCACTGGCACCATGGTGTCCAAGCAGGGCTCAGGCTCGTGGTCCAGAAGGAGCTGTGGCACACTCTGAGCAGGGACCACACTTGGACAGCTAGGTGATCATGCAGCTGAGATGCACCATTACCACCAGACTTGATGTAGCTGCAGAGCGACAGCAAAGCCATATTACTAAGATGAATGACAGATTCTGCTTTTAGAGTGGTTTTTTTTTTTCAGAATGACTTCTGTTTCAAAGTACCTTTCCTGTCTGCCACTTTCTCAGTTTTGGTGCTTCTTCTGTCACAATTCTGAAATTGGAAATAAACGAGTTGCAACAGCTCAGTGAATCTTTCTTTTTCTTTTCTTATGTTTGTTTTTGCAGATGGGGCAGTAGCTGAAATTGAGAAAAAGATTATAGAAGCTTTTGAGGTGTTTGACCATGGAGGCAATAAAACTGTGGATGTCAGGTTTGTAAATATCTTCACACAGAAATATTACAGGATCTAGTACAGAGATAAATAACCCCCTAAACTTGCATCTGCTTTATCAGAAAATATAATTGAAACAGTCCTTTTGTCTCTGAACAATTATGTCTTTGCTTGTTTAATAGACATTTTGCATTGTTTAGTGGTTGAAGACCGAAACTGGCATGAGAGGGGGATGCTGGGACTGGTGGAGTAAAGAGGCAGGAGGAAACTGCAACGAGACAAGTTGAAGGCTGCAATTATTACTAGCAAATGTCTGCTCTGGTAGCTCCTTTGGCAATACAGGTCCTGGATCTCATACGGATCCCCTTGCTTTCAGGATAGTTGCAGCACATCATGCATCCTGAACGTTCCTCTTTCTCTGGCATAATGTGGGATGTGGATGTTGCTCTGATAGGGAGATGTTTTTAGGAAACTGGGAAGAAGCTTGCATATAATTTGATGATTATGATGATGGTTGTAATAATAATAATACAGTGAACATAAAGATGATCATACTTGATTGCCCGAAAAGTCCATTTAGCCCAATAACCTCATCTGAGCTACTGGTAGTTACTTGGGGGAGGAATACAAAGAATTGAGCAAATACACAGTATTCCTTGTTTTTTTTGTACATCTGCCACATTTTGATTGGAGTGGTGCCTGGGTTTTTTTTGTGTGTCATGATAAATAGTAAACGATTGTTCTCTATTAATCTTCTCAACACCATTACTGATTTCATAGCTGTCTGTCACATCTGTCCTCCATCACAGTAGTTTAAGGCTGAAGTCTGGATATGTTTAATCTCTTAGGAGATGCTGTTCCATAGCTCTGACCATTCTGTTTTGTGCTCCATCTTGTTCAGCTTTCTCCTTTTTGAAATGGGATGACCAGAACTGGGGGAATGGGATGCACAAATGGGAGTCAGGAGGAAGAACTGTGTGCACTATACCTTTAGAATGCAATGTTATGGAAATACAAACAAAATACATGTCTGAGGGAGTAGGAAAAGGTTTAATGGAAGACAAAAACATGGACTGTTAGACTGATCAGGGCATAACTGGCGACAAGATACAGCACTAAAGCAAGTCAAATTTAAAAATTCCTGAATAATCTTAATTCCGTGTTGTGTTTTTTTTTTTTTTTAAGTTTGAATATTTGACAGTGCTACTTTAACTTTGTTTTAGGATAAACATCCATACATATAACAATATGGCTTTTGTTATAAAATACAGAAAACATGTATTTATGTTTCCCTGAGCAGGTTCTGAAGTTGTTATAAGCTGTTGTCATTAAAGTTTGCAGAAATATTTTTTCGTATTTCCAGTTACTATTTTCACAAGAACCAGAGCTTTTAATTGTAAATCTGTTATTGAGTATAAACACTACAAAGGAGTGTGAGAACTGGTGAAATTGTTGTCATTAGACATTCCTAAGAAAGCCAAATTGGAAAACATCTTTAAACATTCCAAACATCTTTTCTGGATTACAAAACAGAGATGAGAGAGGTGCAAAACATTTATGTGACAGTTTTAGCAATGCATGCTTACTAGTGCCTCTAAATTTAAGAAATTATGGATACTTCATGGAATTGAAATGATTTTTCAGTTGTATTAGATAGAATGTCAGGGTATGTCTCCACGCTCGGTACAATTGCTGTTCCCTTGCCCAGAGGGCTCTTTGGGAAGAGTGCTCAATTAAATCTCTTGGCCCATCCCCAGAGAGTTGCCTGATGCCCTGGACTGGTGCCCCCGACTGCTCTGCCCCCGGCTGGGCGGTGGGATGGGGGCTGTGGCTGCCCCGCCTTGCCCTGCCACCCACCATGGGGAGCTCCAGCCACTACCACCCCAAAAGCCCTGGGGAGCACCTAGCCCTCACTGCACCATGACATCCTAGTTGCTAATTTGTTTGTCGCTTACATCTGCAGTCCTGGATAAACAGCTGTAAAATTTGCTACACTTCTTACTCTGTTATAGAATGGATATAGAGCTTGAGAAAGTGTTACTACAATGAAAGGATACAAATAGACTTTTAAAAAAATTCATTCAAACAGTGAGTGGTAACATGTGAGAGGGGATATTTAAAGTCTATTTAACATAGTAAATGCAGAATTTCACATTAATTTTTATCATAGTACAGTTACTGACTAAGAAAAAAATTTATTGTCTAATTATTCCTAGGTACATATTGCAGGGCTGTATCACAATAATGGGATGATTAATGGCTGATGATTTTGTATCAGAAGGTGGCAGTACAGCATAATGCTTAACAACAATTGTAGACATAAGAATGTTATTGCTTGAAATATCAGATTCCTGTGAAGAATATGGAAAATTACCCGGCTTGACAGGCTAACATCGGTATTGCATGACTCCTAATGCAAATACAAGTTAGTAAGAAATTAAGCACGAGGGAGATGGTATTTCATGCTGTTTACAACACACCCTGAGTCAAGGGCTTTCCTGATTTTACAAATCCTGTCATTGAAAATGTTATATGTAGGGTGAAAACTGTTTTATTGTGTCTGTGCTACAAAACCTGTATGAACATAAACTCATTTTAACCATAATTTTTGTGTACTAGAAACTACACAGCAGAAACTGCAGCTACTGAACTAAGTGAGAGGAAGTGGCTGGGAAGAAAATACGATTTCCTATCTGAGTCCTTTAAACTCCGTGTTATTACCAAATGTGACATGACTTTTTTGACCACAGAGACTTCAAACAAATCCTCATGCTGGCACATGCGGAGACTGTCAGAAACAGGAGTTTCAACAGCAATGCCAGATTTTGCAAACTCTTTCAAGGCCTGGCTTACTTTAGTCACATTGCAGTTTTGCTGAGTGTGAGGTGAGGCAGGAGATGATGGCAACCTTCCCATCTCTGGCAGTCTGTAAGAGAGGAAATGGTGAGGGACAGCAAGGAGGCGTGATTGGGGTTGGGTGTTTCTCTCGGGGAGGCAGAGAATATTTACATGTGCCTTTTAGCTGTAAAAGACAAGGGAGTACAGGAGTGAGAGCATCAAATACAACATATCCATACTAGAAACAGGATGCGTGGACAAGGATTATAAAAATAGGACCAAATGACTGGCCTCATTGAGGCAATGGCCAAACTTCCATTCACGTCCACAGGGGGCAAGGTTTCACTGAGTCACTTGAGCAGATGGCTTCTTTTCACAACAACTGTATGTGTGGGATTGGGTTTTGTTTTGTAACTATTTTTGTGCAGTCAGCCTTCTCCTCTCTTTTGTTTATTGTAGTGCTTCTTGCATGTTCTCAATCAGAATGGGAGCTCCTCGGGACCTGTCTGAGGAGGCGAAAGACTGACCCATCTAATTTCATTTGTGCTTGGTGTGCCACATTTGGGGCCTTACTGTTGTAAGAGAGTTCTACAAAGGTCATTGCTTTTTTGTATCTACCATTTTTCTTAGCCAATCTGATTTTTCCACCAAATGTACTGGTGAAGATGAAGAAACCACAGAGGTTTGAATCATGGTAACCACCAGCACCGTGGATACTCGTTCAAATGTGCTTTAATTTCTGTGTTGTAGAATTGGACTGAAAATCACAAGCAATATTGATGCTTTTGTTATTTTGTTTTCAATCATACCGTATGTCTCATTAGTACTCTTTTTTACAGCTTTACAGTACTTTTGTTTCTAGTCTGTGATGTTGTTTATCTTAAACTTTTTTGAGGCATTGCCAATTTGGTCAGAATTTTATTTAGAACAGCTATGTAAGAACAGCTACACCAGGTTCACCCGTAAATACAATCTATGAATATAATTTGCAGCATAAACAGAGTGGTGATAAGCCGCTGTGTTGGTCTGTTTGACTCTTTCAGAGCACAGCAGGGTCATAGCAGGGCTGCCTCCTTCATGACCTTTTGTAATTGTTATTTACTGCAGTTAGAATTTGTATCTTTATAGCATTTAATGTAAACCCGTATTTTATTTGTTACCTTTCATCTCAGTAGATTTCCAACTGTTTTATTAACTATATAAATGTAGACTTTACTGAAATTAAGCTTAACAATTAGAGGACAGCAGTTGAAAAGTAACCTGCACACAATACACTGCAACACAATGGTAAAAAAGAATTTTTTTGGAAAGTAACAAGAACGATTATACTCTTCCAAAAAGCTCCAGAATATTTAATGTCTGTAAAAATAGGTATTGCTTACTGAAACATCATCTTAAAAGTCCACATACATATGCTTATGTGTGCTTGGGTGCTTGTATGTGCACACTCCTGTACGGAAGCTCTGAATTGGTATCTGGATTCTCCACAGACACTCTTGTATTGCAGATTTACTGACAAAGATGATCATTCTTTCTTTCAGAGAGATTGGTTCAATTGTCAGGTCACTGGGTTGCTTCCCAACTGAGGCAGAACTACATGAACTGCTTGCAAAGGTAAATGTTTAGATCTTCTGTATTTTTTTCAGTCTTAAGCTTGGACATTCTGCCTTGCTGTGTGGGAAACTTAAGCTCTTTTCCCAGAGGTTGGAAGTGTCATGGAAGTGATTCAGGCAGTCAGTCTCTCAAGTTGCCCTGAAGCAAGCCTTTAGGCTAATGAGGTTAAAATGAGGAGCCTTTGACTCTCTTTTACCTCAGAAGGTCACTGTGACACTGTGCCAAGGTGGAAGGGCATGTATAGAAAATGGAGGAAAAATTGGTTTTGGCTGGTGAAAAAGAATGTCCTAAGCCTCAGTCAGATTAGGTTATCCAAACCCTAACCATCTCACTCTTTTGGACATGCCATGGACACACACTGGATGATTAGGTAATAGTTCTTGAGCAGGTGTTAAAATTATGCATCAAATTCAAAAAATACACAGAGGGAAGACCTGCTGTTTTTTTCACTGGGTCCTGTTATTTCTATCTTATAGCCAGACCTCTCAACTTTCTGTCCTTCCTGAGGTCTCTCCCAGTCTTAAGATTTCTCAGTTATAGATAAGTAATCTTTTCTTACTTGATTACTTAAGCCTGTAAATCAGAATTCAGACGTAAAACCTCGCAAGACCTAGCAGTCCTCCCCTTCTCCCGGTGATGTGCAGGGGTAAGGAACTTCCATCACATTTCTCCAGTTTTTTCTTACACCGATTTTTGTGTCCTTACCTCATGCTAGCAATAGGAAGGATGGTGTGCTGGTGCCTTGGCAGGGTATGTTTAATAAATGGGACAAAGAAGTGGGACATTCTTTTTTGCAAACTGATATGCTCACTTAAGGAGTGGAAGATGCTGTGGCTGAGAGGTGGGGGAAGGATATTTCTCTTTTTCATGTATAGGTCAGGATACTCTCTTGCTCTTTTCTTCCTGTCCCCAACAAAAATTTGGATGGTTGCAGTAGCTCCTCAGTAGGCTTGTCTGGTCTCTTGTAGATCAGAATTTAGTGTGAGAAATCTTCGGCTAAGTCTTGTGAAAATGACGCAGCTGCTTCAGATGAGGAAGTGCGAAGAACGATCAGAGGAGAAAGATCTTTTAACATGATGCTGCAATCTGTCTGCTCTGGTTCTGTGCTCTCAGTACCAGATTGTCCCAGCTCCCACTGACAAACAAGACAAAATGGAAACAGAAATCATGGTGCATAACATAAATGATATTTTTAGAGGCCCACAAAGATTTTTGTTTGGAGCAAATGAACAGTACAACTGACTGAAGACACAGAATTGAGGAAAGGAAAGGGATGCTTTGACACTACCCCCTGCCAGGTCCAGGGCAATTAGGAGAGTTTAAGGCTTGTCTCCCCTCCCAAAGGCACTAGACTTTCTATTTTATATTTTTTTTCAGTTTTCAGCATTGCTGGAAATTTGAGATAAGTAATACATAACAAAGTACAATGCAATGCAGCTATGAGGCAGAAGATTCTTGAGGTACAACAGTGTAATGTGTATGCAGTTGTTGATTTTAAGGATATTAAATTAACGTACAAATACTGCAAGAGGAAAGAATACATTCAGGAGTAATGGTTAACCTTAAAGAACACTGAACTGGAAGTTAAATCTCAAAGAAGGTTTCATGGTGCCTGTAAAAGAAACATTGGCCTACATTTAGTACCAGAAGAACATTGTCGTCTTGTAGAATCCTTAGTATATTAATAACAAATATATCTTAATTTATATAATATACCATTATCATTGACTACAGTAATACCATTTTATCTTAATCTAGATAAAGTAAAAATTGTCTCTGTTGGCTGATATGTAACTAAGCTTTTTCTTCAGTTTTTTTGCCCTTTGTGATTAATTTCTGTTTCTCACTACTGTGTCTCTCCATCATCTCATCTTTCTATTAGCCTTATTGTAGCTAAATGAGCATACATTGCCCTCAAATTATTCGTATCTGCCAAATCAGCATTCATGAAATTATTTTATATCTAAAAATTACCATATACTGTTTCCTATATTGTCATATGCTAAATGCTGTGATTAATATAATATCTTTAGGCCTACTTACAAATTTAAGATTAAACGATAAGCCTAGAGATGGTGAAAGCTAATCTGAGGGTTACTACAATGCCTGGAGTTTGAAATCCCGGGTTCAGTGTGCTGCTCTGCCTCAGATCTCCTGGATAACTCTGGAAGATGGTTTTGTTTCTCTGTGACTCAAGTCCCCACATGTTATGTGGACAATGATAGTATGGCTGTGAGAGCAGAGATACGACACATAATGGGTGCTACAATACAGTTGTTATGAGAGCTGTGGATGTACCCCAAGGAAAGAAGTAGAGCAAAACTCACAGAGTTTAAACAAGTAAATACTGTTAATATCACAGTCAATGTGAAAAGAGGAGGAGTTACAGAAAAAGGAAAACATCAATGGGAAACGAGGTATAGAAGAGGAGCGAGCATGAGGAAGAGTAAGAGGACACATATACCTGCAAATCTCAATACTTACTGACTTAGGCAAGGTTAATTATTTATTCGCATATCTGTCCAATGTTAGAAATAAGATTAATTTGAACAGTTAAAGATATTGCTGGGCCTGTAGAGCCACTGGAATGGAACCTGTTCTTTCCAGGTCAGAGGAAGCACATCACCTCCCAGGACTAGGTCCATTGTCAGGAAGGACACGTTTCTTCCACAGATTGCTTTCTTAAGGCAAATAGCACACCAACAAAAAGCAACAAATCTGGATGATATTTGTCAGTGAGGGCTGACGGTTTCACAGGTATTTGTTGCATTGAGCTATGAAGTGGTGGTCATTACTGGTGAATTCTTCTGGTATGAAAATTAGGGTGACCTTCAACTGTTTGGGTGAGCAGATCTAATGCTTTTTGGCTCTTAAACATGATTTATATAACTTTTCATCTTCATGGATGTTTTGGGTCCTTGCTTTTGATTGTTCTGCTTAATATAGGACACATCTATCTATTTCCAGAAAATAGCTACCGTATTTTTTTTTCTGTCTCTGTGGACTTCTGACCTAATATTAGTTGAAGCACAGATGTTCTCTAAAACATCCTGTGTACTTCTATATCTCAACGTTTGTGATGCATGGAATAGTTCGGTGTATTGACTAACTGTTATGTCACTGGAAAGAAGTTATGTTTTGCCAAGTATTTTGTTACATCTTTTCAATGAAGCAAGCAGTAAAACAAATGGTTCTGTAATGGTAAAAGGTATCGTTTGATTTAGCATGAAGCATGCAACTGCTTCATTGCCTTGCTAAAGATCCCTTCCATTAGGCTCACCAAACAGAAGGGAAAAAGTGCTTTTACAAGCCAATTTCCACTCTAAAGCAGCAAGAGGTGGTGGCTGCCTGCTGTTAGCAACCAAAACCCTTTGAGAGCACTGGAGAAGAGCGTGCGGCAGCAGTTGCAGCTCTCCATTTAAGCAACTGGCATCACCCTCAGCTCTAACCCAGCTCCCAAGAGGAGAATTTCTTACTTCATCTTTTTCTAAATCGGTTAGAAGATTTCAAATCAGTGCCTGTTTGAGTCTTCTTTCAATCTGAGCTGTGTCTGTGGAGAGCCTAGTGAGGTTTTGCGGCTGCCATGTGAGACCACAAGGCATGCATCCAGTTTCAACACAGACAGGAACAGGCTAGCTCCAGTAAGAGGGCTCCTTTTGGGAGTAAAACTTGAAATTTTCAGGGAAGGGATGCACCAGGATGATAGGGAACAGTTTTTACCATGTTACTCATCTCCTGTGGAAGTATAGGAATGCAGTGAGAATGCTGCTAGAAGCCCCTGATGTTTCGAGACTAATCTATTAATTTACTTGAGAGGCAAAGGGAAGCTTTTCTTTGTGTAGCATTTTATGGGCTGCCTTGTGACTGTTTCAGACTGCCCTGACTCAGTCTGCCTGCCTCTCTGGTCCTTCCCCTGACGACTCTCTCTGGCTATGAAACATGTGGAGGCAACAAATTCCATCCTTGAGGTGCACTAGACCTGGGCTATGTCCAAACTAGCACATTAAATATGCCCAGAAACATCCTTGGGTGTTGAAGCCAGCTGGCACAGGGCAGCTCATGTCTGCCCTGGTAAATGTTTTATGTGGAGTGGCTGCACAAAGCAGCCGGCTGGAGAACAGTCCCAAAGGTCCGAGCCAGGCGTGGTGACTGCTGGGGGTAGCGTCAGGTGGCACAGGCCAAAATCATGCCAGGGAATGTGCTAATGGGTTGTTGTTATGGGTGGTCACATTACACTGCTTGGGGGTGTTCCAGGTCCTGCTAGACTTTACTGGTATGAATGCAGTCTGAATGTTTAAACCTCTGCTGAGTTATTGTGGGAGATAAGATCAGTTACTAGGCATTCAGTTCCTTTGCATGAATGGTTTCTGAGCACAAGAGGGCAATATTGAGTTGTTGAAAATGTCTATAATAGCAGGCCTGTATTTTGCCTGTGATATTATTTCTTCCTCTAATTTCTTTCTTTTTAATCACAAGCATTTCACTCAGATGTTATGGTGCCATGTGATATTAAAAACCTGATATAAATATTCAAAGTTTAACTCTGTGATTTTAATGCAGGAACCAATCCAATTTTCTGGTTTTCGTATTAGTTTGCTAATGAGTCATATAACCTGCCATACTTAAGTTTTATTTTTAGGTAGAAGAAGAACCACCAACCGGATACATTAATCTGGAAAAATTTCTTCCAGTGATGACAAAAGTACTACTTGACAGAAGGTAATGGAAAGTGGATTTTCTGTGTCTGTAGTTTATTCCAGATTGACAGAGTTGATTCTGAATAGATCTATCTCCAGTAATTTTATGTCACTGGAAGGAGTACAGATTTTTTTTGTTGTTGTTTAAACTCAGTTTACATTACCTTGATAGATTTTGTTTCAAAATTACTTCATCTACATGAAATCGTGTTGTACGGATGACATAAATGATAACAGCTTATAATCGTGAATTGTGATAATGTGTAGCTTTTGTATTTTTAATTTGAACCAGAATTAACTGACTTTTCAACATGTTTTGTGCATCTCTGAAATATTTTATATGCAAATTAAGGTCATAACCATGACTTTCTCTGAACATCTGAGTTACAGTTACTGAGAAGCACAGTCCGTTGAAGGATATTTTGAATAAGTTGTATAAATCAGCTTTGTGTTCATGTCTCAAAATGACTGCCAGGTACACTTGAATGTACACAACTAGCACTCTTAAAATCTAAATTTTAGATTTAATTCTAAAAGTCTAGAACAAAACTGCTGTTTATTATTCAAAGGTACATAGAAATCTTTGGTTGTACACAGAAACTTGTGCTTTCTTGACATTTTGCACTAAAAGCAAGATTACTTACAGGGAATTTATCTTTCTTTTTAAAGATGGTAGCCAAGGATTTTGAGAGACTTAGTCTTGTCCAATACTGAGAAGTTATTTTGCACACAGAAAGCCTTTTGGTAGGAGGGTGTTCTACACATGAAATAACTACAGGATTTCCCAAAACTGTCTCACAGCATCCAGAGGCAGTGGAGTGCACCTTGAGGCTGTGTTTGAGAGTCTTTGCACCCCTGCCTGAACACAGACCAGCCAGTAGTGTTTGAGTCCCATTACGTTGGCGCAGGTGAATTGCCTTCCCAGGTTCCTGCACTTTTGCCTTCTCTGGCCTTCATGGCACATTTTTGGTTCTACACTGATGTTCATCCTTTCACAAAATGATACCTTGCTGCTCTGGGCTCTCTTCTCCTCTTCCACACAACCATACACACACACACAAACACACCCAAAACCCCTTTCCCCAGGCTAGTGCAGGCTTGTCAAGATCCACTTTATCTTTTGGGGCATTATGTCCGTAGTTCACTTATCAAGGGCACATGAAACTTGGATCACAAAAAACAAGGCCTCCTCTTAGCACATTTGATTTTTAGATATTAAAAGAGCAAGGTGGGTCTAGGCGAAACGATCTAGCAGTTAGAACATCCATGGCGTTCTTGGGGGTTGGTGAGAGTCTGCTGGGATATGGAAGGTCTCTATTGCTGTGCAGGGTTTCCTTCCAGCTCAGCAATCAGGCACACATATGGACACACACACGTACCCAGTTCTCCTGTCTCTCTGAAATTGTTAGTGATAGACCTTTTATAGCTACCAGCCTCCTTTGCTCATCATCAGCTCATTAGATCAAAGTCCCACTAGGTGATCTGTTGCCTAGCTACCTGTACCTGGACAAAACTTTATTTTCTTGGTTTGGCCATCTTCTGTTCAGTGCATTGGCCGCGTGGAATGATTCAGTTGTTACTGATTCCTGCTAACCCAATCAGCCAGCCCGGACATGTACCAGCCGTTCATCCGGCTCCTTAGCAAGAGGAAAATTAAACAGGAGTACAATAAAAGACATAAGAGGTAAAGATACAGACAGTTCCAAAAAACCAAGCTGGAATTAAATGTTTGATAAGCAAACTTAGTAACTTCTCATAGAAAATAAGTTTTCCCTTTCCTATAGTACTCATATTTTATTGTTTTAGAATAGTGCAACGACCTGGCAAACAGTGACTGAACTTTTCTAATTCAATGGTTTCAGCTACCTGCCTATTCCAGAAGATGTTCTTCTGCGTGCATTTGAGGTCTGTAACTAAATATCCAATTACCTAATTGCTGGAAAGAAGTTGCTGATTCTTGTTTCAATATGGTTAAAACCACAAGTTTTATTCTTTTTCTTTAAAGGCTTTGGATGAGAATAAATGTGAATATATTACTAAAGAGGAGCTGGCCAAATATTTGACTGAAGAAGGTAACATGAATTTTGTAATATCAGTATTTAAGTAAATAAACATTACATGTGTATATGGCACCCCGAGGTTCCTCATTCTGCATGCCAAAACTTGCATGAGTAGATACATTGTCTTCAAACAATGCTGTTGCTGTGATGAGTGGCTGCAGACTAGAACATTTCGCTGGTGAATAATCCAGGGAAAGAACATTTATCTGCCTGCTTGCAGACATTATAAGATAGAGATTATTATTATTAAGAGTCATAATTCAATCTTGTGTGGATATTTTACAATTCCGTGCACATCCCTGTGCTTCCTAAGGATGTGCCTCTTCTTCTGTCCTGTAAAACTGTAGTTTAGATTTCCAGATGTTTCAGGTAGTTTCAGTGCTCATTCATTCCTGCATTATCTTGATCTTAATTCTAGTGCTGTACACAAAGAGATTCAAAGACCAGATTTAAGTTGTGTATCATGTAATCCTCAATATCCCTTGGAGAGCCTGCTTTTCTTGCATGGCTGACTCATGCCTGCCTACCTCAAGTACGAAATGATGTGCAGGCTTTGTGCAAGACCCATCCTCAGATGGAGACCTTGTTCTCAAAAAAAGATGTGGTAGGCCATCAGCAGCTTTGAAGCTCCTAAAAGAGAAAAAACAGAAGCCTTTCATGATGTGAGTAGAAGTGAAAGGATAGCCAAATGAGAGATCATAATTCTAATGTACATGCTAGACGAATTCACTCTGACAAAAATGGTTGTTTTGAAATCCCTGTGGCAGAAAGGAACAGGCTGGTTTGGAGTCTGTGAACTAAAAGATCAGAAGATCCAGGCACTCTGTCTCCTTTCCCTTAGACCAGCTTGTTTGGTGTGTAGGACTTTGGCAAAAGTAAAGGAATGGCTTCCTTAGTATTGCCCCTTTTCTCCTCCGCGTGAGGACTGAAAGGAGATCCTTACAAGAGAAAAGGAAGGTTATTTGCCAGCCCTGAAAATAATATTTATCAAGACAAAGTGTTATTCTTGCTTTCTTTTAGGTGAACCCTTTACTCAGGAAGAAATGGCGGACATGCTCTCCGTGGCTCTAGATCCACAAACAAATACTGTTCGCTACAGAAACTACATTTTAATGCTGATAATAGATGAAAATTAAGATCTTCCCCTGTAGTGTTTGAGATGCCTTTTGGTAACAGTAGTGTAGCTTGGCAGTTAGTTGAAATACGTGTTTTAAAGTATAACGAAGCTCGGCTTGTGACCTTATGCTTATAATTAAAATAAAATCTGTGTAGCTGTATTTCCTTGTGTTCTGTATACATACTGAAATATATTCACACCTGGAAAAAGAGCTCTTGACAGATATACTGTATAAGGTCTGGAAAAGAGATCATGGAATTTGGTTTGAAAAATAACAGGAAAAATAATGTTAATGGAGTCAAGAAATGGCTTTACAATTGCTTCTGAAAAATGAATGGAAAATGAGACCTGTGAAAGTGGCTAATAAGTAGGTAAGTACCTTAAGATGACTAAAATCATGAAGGCATGCTACTAGAATAAAGCTTTTATATTTAAATGTAATCCTTGTTTGTGTTTAACTAATAAGGCACCAGGTAGGTTACCACTTTTGAAACAATATAATAGATCAAATAAACTTTCTACAATTTCTAGTTTTTGTCAAATATTTGTGCTTTGTTTACCGCAGGCAATTAAAATGCAACGGTGCGTTCCATTTTATGTCACTCATCCATTGGCACATGGTATTTTGCTTCCATTTTAAACATGCAGGTAACACTCAAACCATTGCCATTGTCAAATTTACAAACAAAGTAATCCTTGAGAATGTTTCTGTTACTATAGGCAATAAACAGTTCCCCTTTCATAACCAGTTTGAAAGTCAGGAGCTGAAACTGTTCAAAACTTAAGATCATAGAACTGGAATTTGATTTTCATAAACTGATGAAGTGCCTTTTTTTGAAAGATGTTAGTGTAGAAAATGTCTCAACTATGCTTGCTAGAAGACCACCACAGATCTCACTGCTCTTCTCATTTCTAGTGTAATCATTTTCTTGACTTTTACAGTACTGTTGTCCTTTAACTTGAGTTTGAGCTCTTTCCCCTCGAGTTCTTGCCTTGTACATCGTCTTCTAACCAGTGGTTGCCCTCAACTGAGGAGGTCTCAGTTTGTGGAAGATTCTGTGGTCTGGTCCCCAGGGTCACCGTCTTGTACTTTGTGCTCCACACCTTTGACTCCATTTCTGTTTTTCTACTCTCTATTAAGTTTGGTTTCCTCCTGTGCAGTGTGCTACCACTCCTCTGTCTTAACTGCATATCCCAGCTCTGTGTCATCAACAGACTTCATCAGCTGATGAGATCCGGGAAAGACTGACACACAGAGGCCTTGAATGTCTTACCCGCTGTCGTGCCCTTCTAGCGGCAGAGCTGAGAACAGAGCAGAGGCCTCCTCATGTCAGGTCTTTTGCTCTACCCATTTGTTTCACTTGAGCTGGAAACTCAGAGGAGCTGTTTTCATACACAGCTGCAAGGGAGCTGCTATGCTTCACAAAGAAGAGGTTAGCACAGTCTAAATGTGGTGGTGGAGGCAATCTGAAAGAAACCATTTTTTAATTATTTTTTTACTTCTCTAACCCAAGTTGTCTTTCATTGATATTTTCTTAAACAGTAAGGCAACAAAGAGTTAATGCAGGTAAGCAACATTTGCCTAGTTCTAATGCACTCTTGTTAATACATTTACTGTATATTTCAATTCTTTGTCAGTAAGAATGAAAAACAAAGGTAATCATTAGTGTTATAATGTGTGAAGATATAGGTTTTTGAAGATTAAAGCAAGAGCAACAAAGGCCCATTAAGAAAATATGTTTTTTATTAGCCTTCTTTAGTCTCTCTTTGGAAGCTGAAATTATTTTCCCTAGATGAATCCTTTGGTTTGATATACCGTGTGTTGTACTGGATCTTGAACACAGCTGGCATGAATACAAGTTTCATTCATATTCTGCAATCTGGGAGCCACTGTCAGCCTCATC